GGAGTAATATATTTAAGGGGTCAGGAGAGATGAACTCTTACAAAAAGAGAATGATGTGATTTAGAATGACTGGAGGCACTCTCGAGCTCTAAACACAATCAGACACTGTTCAGTTTAGACTGTTTAAGGACACATGCTGTTTGTTTGGCAGTGTGTGTGTGTGTGTGTGTTCTTGTTGACAGATATTAACCGGGCTGTTGAACTGCTCGATAAGCTCCAGAGGACAGGGGAAGTGCCTCCCCAGAAGCTGCAGGCGCTGCAGAGGGTCTTACAGAGTGAATTCTGTAACGCTGTCAGAGAAGTGAGACACTTTTATTATTATTATTAAAGCACTTAACTGTGAGGTGGCATTACATCACTTTCCTTCTCCTTATGTTAATCTTGCGTGTTTGAATTTCTTTGTGTTCACCTTTTGGAAATGTGACGAAATATTGTCCAACAATGTCTCTTCAGGTTTATGAACATGTGTATGAAACAGTGGACATCAACAGCAGTCCTGAAGTCAGGGCCAACGCCACAGCCAAGGTAGATCCAAGTCAAATACCATCTAATACACAAGCATTTGACTTGCAAACAGTTTAACTCTTAAAGACGTTCTAGTACCACGCATCACATTGTGCTGAGCGCAGGAAACACAGTATATTTGCAAAAGTTAAACAACACCACTTTGTTTATTTGTAGGCTACTGTGGCAGCTTTTGCAGCGAGTGAGGGACACTCACATCCACGCGTCGTGGAACTGCCCAAGACGGAGGAAGGCCTGGGTTTCAATATAATGGGTGGAAAAGAGCAAAACTCACCTATATACATCTCACGGATCATCCCAGGAGGCATCGCTGACCGTCATGGAGGCCTGAAGCGAGGCGACCAGCTTCTCTCGGTTAATGGAGTGGTACGTTTAGTTTACAGAATTATGACTTACTCGAGGATGTTAGATTTGAAGCCTCGGTCTAACCCATGTGCACATTTTGCAGGTAATTCATGCATTTTCATACATAGTGAAATACAAAGCAAAAAGGGCAAAGCTGATGTTTTCGTAGACTCAGCTTCATTAACCATCAGCTCTTAAAATCAAAACTTCAGCAATTAGGGCAGATTAACAATTTAAAACCTTTCACATTTACTTCTACGCTTCAAGTCAAGTCAGTTTTATTTATATAGCCTAAAATCACAAATTGTAATCTTGTCATTACACAACCTTTGAAATGTCACATAACATTACTGTCTCTCCTGCTGAGCTTCCGTAGCAGACTGCTGCGTTGAGCCACAACTCTTTTAATATTTAGTATGCTCACCTCCAAAGAGGACAGAGGTCCTCAGGAAATCTGGCAACAGTGAAATATTTTCATCATGTTGGTTCGTTAGCAGTAGAACGTCCATTTGCCAGTTAAAAGATTTTCAACTGTCTCAAAAGTACCCTGTGGAGTTTTTGGCCACTAGTAGAATGTGTTGTCCTCAATTTGTCCGTGAGGACACTTAAGTGTGCACCCATGCACGGAGGTGATGCATGCTCAGTCCTGCCAATGGTTTTACGCTATCCCACTGATCGACAGTTGGTGGTTGTAAGAATTGTCACCAAGTAAATGCAGCAATGCATCAACAAAGGTGAGAGAGAAGAAGGCTGCTATAGAGCAATACAATGTGGATGTAAGTTTCAAATTCTTCCAGATAAAATGCATTCAACACCTTTTATTAAGGCTCAAGAATATATTTACTGTTAGGTGAGAAACAGTCGATGTAAACAATTTATTTTGTTTTGAGAAAAATAAATGTCATGGGGTACCTTTTTAAAGACTCTACTACATTAACTACAACTTTCACACAGCTGTGATCGCTGCTTGCTGTGCTTAGGTTGCAATTCCGGGATCAGCCAAAAACAATCATCCAATTGACTTTGTTTGTTGCTCAGTTTGTTCTCATTAAAATGTCCAAATTACAAACTTTTTATAAGGTAAATTGAACCAAGCTGCCAAAGCTTATGTTATGTTCACTCAAATACCTATAAAATCCATTCCAAAGTTACCACATACAGTGTGCTTAATTATTATGAACCTATAAAAACTGTAGACTTTACTACAGTTGTTCCTGCCCTTTGTGATAAACTCTTACAGTACATTTCTGTGTTTCTTTCCAGAGCGTGGAAGGTGAGCACCATGAGAAAGCTGTGGAACTCCTCAAAGCAGCTCAGGGCACAGTGAAGCTGGTAGTAAGGTACACACCCAAAGTCCTGGAGGAAATGGAGTCGCGCTTTGAGAAAATGAGGTCGGCGAAGCGTCGACAACAGAACAACTATCCCCAGTAGGATTTTTCCGTGTTGATGCCCAGCTCCCATGTCTCTCCTGCTCTAGCCTTCTGGCCATTTGTTCTGGTCGCTTTCTTATCTCCCTGCCCCAAAAAAACAACATAACAAAACATACTACAAGTTTAGTTTTAGTTCCTACTCACACATACTGTATATTGTGCTTCTACCCTGTTCTGTAGCATTTTTAATATTCGCCATTGTTACACTGGACACTACAACTCTAGACAAACACTAGAATGAACATGATTGTCAGTGTAGGTGGTCACTCACACGTGTGCATTATTTTTGAATTGACAATTTGAATGCAACCAACTACACAATTCCTTTGACTGGAAAGGTAGTGTTTTTAATTCTTTTATCACAGCCACTACCAAGTGCCTCAGGGCAAACACATTTATCTTATGTACTGTGTTCACCGTTCTTTCTTTCTTTTTAATGGTTTAAAGTCAGGTATTGGTAATGATATGCTTGTGGCAGGAGTTACTACATGCTTTTCATCTGTTATTCTCAACGATCATTTTATAGAAGTACACGCTAAACATATGTAAAACCTTTAATTGTGAAAACTTAAAAAAAAAAAAAAAGATGCAGTTACATTTTTATTGCTGCACTACAAGCTTTGGGGTAGTTGAATTAGTTAAGAAGGGATAGTTTATATGTTTGACGATAAGGGAAACCACTGAAAGGAAACTTCCAAACAAAAGTGATGGATTATACTGGTATTTAAGGGTTTTCTCTGGGCTTACCCTTTAGGTTTTCTAACGTCATACCACACTATAAAAAGCCCAGCAGGTACTGTAACTGATGTAATGGGGTCTCAGCAACTTTTGAACTAAATTCCTGCCACCACCGAGACTTTTATTTAAAGTAATTAATGAGAAACATAACTCTTGCAAGTCAGCGTGACATGAGATGAAACCTGTTCAGCTTCTGATTCATTTGTCTTGACGTAAATCAGGAATGTTCTGTATGTCAGGATTTTTCTCCTCTTTCAGGCACAATACTTGAGATGAATGAGAATGAGAAGTCAGTTACTTAACATTTCTCTTTGATCTTTGCTAAAAACAGCCTGTGAGCATTGTTTGCGTCATTCAGTGAAAAGTTCAAAATGAGGGAATAACAAGACACTCTTGATAACGAGCAATCTGATAATCTGAAACAACCCATGTCACAATAATGCCTAATGTGAGCTTTCATCATTGTTTTGATGAATGAAATGGCAGATGTTGATTCACACATACTGTATTTGGCTTTACACAGCGTTTAGAGGATTATGCCCTAAATCTGTTGCATTGGCACATCTTTCACTGTTAGTTTTCTGTCCGTTTTTAACATTTTAATAATGAATGAACAATAATAAAATAATAATAAATAATGAACAACTTCATTTGAACATTTTGATCCTGGTTATCACTCAGGTCTTTTAAAGGACTTGGATTAAAGTTGTAAGATGACACAGGTGCTGGGATAAGATGTATAGAAAAATGTCTTGAAATTTAAACAACCATTTACTTTTAGGATGCTCGTACTCGATGCAAAGACGTGGGTACGCACACACATTTCAATAATGTAATAGTGCAGTTAGTCCAAACTTCTTCAGTGTGTCACTACAGATTTATCTCCATATGTGGACATTTTTGTCATTATTCTTTTATCATCACGAACAATAATTTTTGCTCCATTAAAGCCAAACACTTAGTGGCACCCATTTACTCTGTATGTAATGTACAAACTGCATATCATGTTAAAATAAGAATGATGACAAACATTTTATTACTAAATACTGCCAAACAGTCAAGTTTGTTCTGATATGAGGTTTTAAGCAGGCTAATGTCATACAGTGTCAATAACACCCGATATACTGTATATGTAGGCACTCCTACTACGTTTACATATACAACACTTATAAACTAAGTCTTTTTTATAGATTTAAAGTGTTTGCAGAATGCATGTTTAGTTATCATATTAATATTCCTCATATCACGACGAATAAACGTCTTATGCTGTGGAATATTAATGCTTAAGAAAAACTGATTGAGAAGCCCAACATCCAACCCTTATGCCTACATGCAACGTGTCAATCAAACAAGTTTGCAAGTCGTGCTTTTCTTTCACATACTTTTATTAGTCAATATAAAACAACAAAAGGGAGTTTTTTACAGACTTTTCTTGCTTTCCCAGCAAAAGGAAGGATACGTCAATTTCAATATAAATGACTGTCTGTTAGAACCCGCTCATCATTCAGTCTTTCAGCGTGTGCAGCCACAAAATATGCCCCAGAACAAATTTAATTTCAGATAGTTATTCACAAAAGTGTTCCGTTGTAGATGCAACGTCATGTATATAGCGTAACGTAAACTAGGCTGTAGCTGACTAAGCCTTGCTATCGTCCAGTCTCAGGATCAACACATAGTTGAGACAGGAAGGTAGTAACGATGTAGTGATTTATCTGGTGTGGACATTAGGTGGATGGTGGATAAAGTGACAGAAACACACAGCAGTGTATGAAAAGCAGGAAAACTTTGCCTTCAGTGTCGCTCCAGTCTCTCTTTGAATTGTGTCCTCCAGTTTGCTCTTTATAAATGAATTCCTTTTTAATGCAGTTCAGTGTTGAACACAAGCGCGTGGCGTCTGCTGTCATGGCTGACATGACCTAATGCCTGTGACTCCTGGTTTCTGTTTGCCTGTGTAGCTGCTTTTGTGATGTCGTTACTCAAACCCTTTTCTGTTTTTCATTTGGTGCTTTTGTTGCTTTATCCACCATCTCTAAACATACAGTAAGTTCCAATAAGGTTCAGCTGCCTATGACATTAATCGCTCCAACACATTGTAAATAGCTCATTCAAAGGTTTTGGTACTTTTTGGCATAAAACATGTGAAATTGTCCACAATCAGTGATCAATCCTTTAGGTGCTAAATTTGACCTTTTAAGAAGATTCCTTACCATCACTAAATACACTGAAACACATCGTGTGTTTAAAAAATACAATTATTAGTGTAAAGTTAAGGAAAGATTGGATTTTTTCCACAGGAACATCAGTTGGTGATAATGTAATATTTTTTTCTTAATAATTGGGACTAAAGTAAAATTTAGAGCTAACAAATCTCTCATGTGCATCTTGTCCATTACAGTCTATACATACATGTGTCTATAATTACCCTCCATGTCAACTCAAAGTCTGCTGTTCCTTCAAATATCAAATTGACTTGCAGGACGGTTTCATTAACTTTTGCCGAACTGTATGTTACTTTAATATTCGTTTTTAAATTGTGCAAGTAATATAATGATACATGATGAGCACGTTGCCTAGTCGTATTTAGTGCGCGTGCTCCCTGTAATCCATTACTCCCTGTAATCCATTACTCCTTATGAAAAATGCTGAATTTTGGGACAAAGTAATAAAGTAAAACTGAATGCAAGTCAATTATCTATGCAAGGTCATTTAAACACTTTGGAAATATCTGGTAATGGTGCAAAACAGCTGTCATTTTACAGCAGAATGTTATTAAAAATTACTACTCAAAGACTATGTAGACAAACGTCTAATGTAATACAACATGTTCAACATTTTCGGGACCGCTGCACTCTGACACATTGGAGTTACGTAATGTTATGAGACCTTTACAATGTTTGTTATTGTAACATGCTCACATTGATCACCATTGATTGTAGTTGCAGTGAACATTTCCACATGATAATTAGCCTTGCTATTTAATTAATGATTGTCAGGATGCATGTAGAAGACTAGGCGTATGTGAAAGTGTGGTTAGCAGTAGACCATCCCATAGGCTACTTCGAGCATACTTTGGTTTCGAGGCAGAGAATTTAGCAGAAGACTCGGGGTGTACATAGAAGTTTAAAGGTCTTAATATGGTGTATAGAATGTCCCTTCATTGTGTTTTATCCAGCATTAGCCAGCTAGACTCGACGCTTACACACATGTATAGTAAATCAGGAAAAAATGTAATGAGACTTGGTATTGATATTGCACAGTCACACTCTCCACTGAATGTCACTGACCATTGTCTAACTTAGTTGCGACATTTTGTGAAGTACCCTTCAACTTTCTACCCGTTTTCCTTGTCTATATATTGGAATGGTCAATAGAGTATTTTTTATAATACTTTTCTTTTGATATTTTTCTCAATTTTTATAAGTGATTTTCCTAAAAACAAATACAAGGAATGATTGGTACTTCCATTTTGACTGTGTACCAGGGCCATATCAGCAAAGCCTCTCTGAAAAGCAGTGCTGGTGTAGGATGGTTGCGGAGATCTCTCGACTGTATGAACGTACAGACTTCAGAGAGAAACCGTCCAATATCAGCACTTCCTTTCTCAGACCTGAACTGATTTTTCTTTTCTTTCTAGTACCAAGACCAAACTTGCAACATTTGTGAAAACTTTGATAATGTTTTGAAAGTCAGTGCTTGTTTAGGATTATTACCTGTAGATTGTGTTGTCTTATTTTGTGTTTTCTGGTTTTCTTACCTAATTTACTGTGTTACATTGATGTGGAATGTAAAATGTTGTGATGTAGAAGATAATAATTGGACTGGATGCTAAATAAACAGTGCTTAAATTTATGGCTTTTAAGGGTCTTCTTGAACATACACACACACACATACAGCATTTATTTTACTTTAAAGCTCAGTATCATTAGGAACAACCACGATAGGGAATCCTGTCCCATGTGATAACATCCCTTCTTAATGAATACAAAGAGATATCTATGTGCATCTTAGCATTTTAAGGGTTTCAAAAAATGTACGACTTGTTTTTACTCTCTCTTTGTACTTCTGTTACATGCAGGCTGCATAGTCTTCGTAATAACTGTCATGCCTGATGCATATAAGGTATGTATGGTAGATGTTTGATGGAAATTCAGCATTGAGACTGCTCACGACACACACTTGGAGCTCTTCTTGATGGAAGTGTAAAATCCCTGCTGTCAAATGCTGTTGGAAGAGTGAACCCAGAATGAACTTGAATTTGCAACTACTGAGACTTAACAGTTTATTTTCTGACAAATCTGACATTTTCTTGTTGACGCACACCGCAGTGGCTGCCAGTAAATGTTTTCCCTTTCACATCAACGCTCCTCCTTTACTGTCTTGCCTTAATTGTATGAAAAGCAGGAAACTACTTCAGAGATGGAAACAGAAAGTTGGTGAGAGCCTCACAGCAGTTTCTATCTAATGGATGTGACACATAGAATCTCATATTCTAAAATGAGTTTAACATTTTCTCTTAAACCCGCAATTACAGTATGTGGTCATGAGGATGTGGAGGCATTCAGATGTTCAGAGATTTTCTTTTAAGCCCAATAACTACTTCCTCTTACATTGATCATGAACTGGAGAGAAAGACAGGCTTCCTTAGAGTGTGGATCCTTTCCTGTCTCTCCATCTTGTGCTTTTTATGTAGACATTGGTGCTGGTTATAGTGGCTGTTATATATACACACTTTCCCCCTGTTGGTATGTATATAATAGGTGAAAATAAACATATAACTATACTCTTTGTTCAGCTTTGGTGTCCTTGTTCTAGCTGTATGTGTATTTTTTGTTGTATGTTGTTATTTATATTGAAACAGTGAGTGAAAAACCAGTCATATTCCTTGTATGTGTATGCATACTTGCCCAATAAAGCTGATTCTGAGTGCTAGTGCTACCCTTGTGAATGTTGTTACACTTTTAATCAGACAGATTGATTTAACTTTAAGACATTTCTTGTGGCTATAATAGTCTTGCTCGTTGAGAAATAGAATTGGGTTGTATGTTCTTAAAGCTTTCCTACCCTGGATAGAGCTATGTTTAAGAGGTAATTTCACCCAGATGCATCCATACGTCTGAGAGGAGCTCTGTAACAGGAGCTTAGTGGTAGATCAGTGGCTGGTTGCCTGGAACCAAACCGCGCACGTGACAGCGATTCATTAGAGCTGGTTGTTCACACTACAGCTTGAGAGCAGAGCACAGCTGTTGGTTTCTCATGGTGTGGATCCAATCCATTGCAGAGTGTTGTGTCACTTCGTCTTTTCTGGCAACCAAAATCCATCACGCCCAGGAGCGAGCCCGGCAGCAGCAGCAGGGGCCGAGGATGAAGCAGGAGGCCAAACTGGACCAGGAGCCAAATCAGCAGTAGGAACAGACAAGGAAGAAAGAATTGATTCATGTTAATATACTGTACAGTAAAACACACATACACTCATACACAAAGTTTGTTTTGAGGTAAAAAAAAAAAAAACTGGCGTCGGTGCTGAAAGGTGAATGGAGAAATAAAGCTGCGTTGCATCTTCACAAAACAGCAACCTTACCACAAAGAAGACGGTTAATTCCAAAAAATACACATGAATTACAAAGTATACTCTCTGATGTAAAGATTGAAAGATTCCTGTCTGAAAAAGCATCCTCTCCACACAGATACTGCTGCAACCATATCAAGAACCAAATGATTGAGTCACGACGTCTAGCAGAGATTAAATATATCACAAGAAGACACAAAACCAGAATGCTGACTCAAGCAGCAGTTACTGAGATGGATCAATCTTTTGAAAATGATTTGACAGGGATTGGGATATACCTTAGAATACATAGATAGATATAGATATACCTTAGGAGTGACATGATTTGGGGTGGCAATACCCTACCGGAAATGAACAGTAGGAATCAATAGAAGAACATCTAATCAGTTAGGTGTTTATACAGTGGAGATGGTGTCACTGTGGGTTGCGTTAAAACAAATTTTTAAAAAAACTAGATAAAGTTAGGTTTGAATTTGATGAGATTCATCATCAGTTCTGGCACATTTTAGGTCAACAGCCGTCAAGATATACTATGTGAAGTTCTTCAATCAGTCACTAGAATAACAAACCAGAGAGGACATTTCTGTGGGTTCTAGTGCATGTAGGGTTGATGGCAAATGAGAGAGTGGGTATATTGGCAAGGAGGGCATTAAAGAAAGAAAAATGGAAGAAATAGAAGGTGAACATGTAATAAAAAACAACCAAATGTGTTAAAGATAGAAAGAAAGAAAGATAGACACCGGGAACAGGAGAGAGGAAACAGTAATGTTAATGTGAAGATTGGGGGACTAAATAAACACTAAAAACAGAAGAAAAAAATCAGACAGGGTTGTGTGAGGAAGGTCAGGAAGAGGAGTCAGTGGAACATGTAGTATTAAGTTGTAGGAGGTTAGGGACAGAGAGAGAGACGATGAGGGGAAAATTGATTAAACTAGGGGTGCTGGAATTCACATTAAAGGGATTAAGATAAGATATTCCTTTATTGATCCCCCTTTCAGGTTGACACAGCAGCAATAGGGCAAAGTAGTGCAAAACAGAGAACAAAGAATATCACAATAAAAATATTACTA